CGATCATGAAACCCGAACAAAAGGTGCGAAGGTTGAATTGGTGCTTACAGCATAGACATTTTAACTGGGACAATGTGATTTTCTCAGATGAAAGTTCTGTGTGGCTGTTTCCTAATACACTGAAATTCTGGACCAAACAAACTGAAATACCTTCGTGTCAGCGCCCAAAGTACAGTCCGAAATTTAACGTGTGGGTGGCATATCTGTGTTAGGGGCAACGCCCCTCTGTGTATTTGAAGGGAATATGAACAGTGAGCGGTACACAGATATTCTCGAGGACATTTACTTCTCATCTGCTCACGTCTTCTATGGAAATGTTTGGGATTTTCCAGCAGGACAACGACCCAAAACATCGTTCAAAGCATTCACAGGTCTGGTTTCGACCCAAAATATGACATTATTAGATTGGCCAAGCTAAGCAGCCCTGACCTAAATCCACAGAAAATGCTTGGGGACTTATATGAAGGAAAGCGTCAATAAGAAAAATCTGGACAAATATTGCTGAAAATGAAAGAAGAGGTGGTCCGATATTGGGACAGCATGGACCACGACTTTCTAACTTCTTTTGATCAGTAGTATGCCCCGCCGCATTGAAGCCTGCATTGCTGCCCATGGTGACTTGGAGAAATTTCTAACTGTTCTTGAATCTGGAGTTATGTTCTGCTAATATTACATTTAATACGTGAGTAATGAGTGAAAAAGAATAGAAAATTACAGTCTTTAAATTCCTCACAATTTCTGGCTGTACTGTATGTGTTTATATCCATCAATTTTGTTATGTAATGTAATATAGAGAGGCAGAATTCCATCCGTCAGCTTCCCTTTCTAATGAAGAATGCAGTTTGTCCACTACAATAATAGTGTTTTATGCCAGTAGAACGATTACTGATTTTCGTTACATTGATAACCGATTACTTACTGTTCAACTCAGGAAACCTCGCCTACATTAAAGACAAGTGTCTCTAACTGGTGGCCATTATTTCATGTCATGGTAACCGTTCTAATCAAGTGTACACACATCACAGGTCGTGCTCACATATCACAGACCATGTTCACATATCAGTGGTCATGGCCACATTACGGGCCGTGTCTACATTTCACGGCCCATGTTCACACATCAAGGGCGATATTCACAAACCAGCAGTAAGAGATCACACCTCATGGTAACTGTACAACCGCATGATGACTATGTAGCCATACCCAGACTCATGGCTACACACCTTTCACTGTGTCCACATATCCTTCGTTAAGGCCACATATCTCACCTTATGTCCACTATCACACCTCTAGACAATGTATATCACCTTATGTCCACTATTCTACCTCTCGGCCACATATCTCACCTTATGTCCACTATCCCACCTTTCGGCCACATATTTCACATTATGTCCACTATCACACCTCTTGGTCACATATCTCACCCTATGTCCACTATCCGTCCTCAAGGCCACATATTTCACCTTATGTCCACTATCTCACCTCAAGGCCCCTCATATCTCACCTTATATCCACTATCCCACCTCTCGGCCACATATTTCACCTTATGTCCAGTATCACACATCTTGGTCACATATCTCACCTTATATCCACTATCCCACCTAAGCTGGCCAACATATTTCACCTTTTATGTCCACTATCACACCTCTTGGTCACATTTCACCTTATGTCCACTATCACACCTCTTGGTCACAATCTCACCTTATGTCCACTATCCCACCCTCAAGGCCATGATATCTCACCTTATGTCCACTATCTCACCTTGTTGGCCATACTATATATCACCTTATGTCTACTTCATCACACCTCTTGGCCACATGTCTCACCTTATGTCCACTATCTCACCTGCTGGGCCACATATTCACCTTATGTCTACTTCATCACACCTCTTGGCCACATGTGTCTCACTCTGATGTCGACTATCACACCTCTTGCCCACATATCTCACCTTATATGTCCACTATTCCATCTCTCTCGACCACATATCGTACCTTATGTCCACTATTCCTACTCTTGGCCACATATCTCACCTTTATGTCCACTATCCCACCTCTCGACCACATATCTCTCACCTTATGTCCACTATCACACCTGTTGGGCCACATATCTCACCTTTTGTCCACTATCACACCTTCTTGGCCACTATTCCACCTTCCTCGACCACATATCGCACCTTATGTCCACTATTCCTACTCTTTGCCACACATATCTCACCTTATATCCACTATCCCATCTCTCGGCCACATATTTCACCTTATGTCCACTATTACACCTCTTGGCCACATTACTCACCTTATGTCCACTATCCCACCTCAAGGCCACATATCTCACCTTATGTCAACTATTCTTACTCTTGGCCACATATCTCACCTTATGTCCACTATTCCACCTCTCGGCCACATATTTCACCTTATGTCCAATATCCCACCTCTTGGCCAGCTACATTCTCACCTTATATCCAAATTATCCACCTCCTTTCGGCCACATACATATTTCACCTTATGTCCAGCATCATACCTTTTGGCCACATATTTACCCTCCTATGTCCACATCACACCTCTTGGCCACATATCTCACCTTATATCCACTATCCCACCTCTCGGCCACATATTTCACCTTATGTCCACTATCACACCTCTAGCTGGCCACATATTTACCTCTGGCGTCCAGCCATCACACCTTACCACATTCCTCACCTTATGTCTCACTATCCCACCTCTTTCAAGGCCAAGATAGCACACTCTGGTGTCCACTATCTCACCTCAAGGCCAAGATATTTCACCTTATGTCCACCATCCCACCTGTTGGGTACATATCTCACCTCATGTCCAGTATCACACCTTTGGCCACATATCTCACCTTTTATGTCCACTTTTTCTAACCTCTCGACAACATATCTCACCTTATGTCCACTATTCCTACTCTTGGCCACATATCTCACCTTATATCCACTATCCCACCTTCTCGGCCACATATTTCACCTTATGTCCACTATCACAGCTCTTGGTCACATATCTCACCTTTTATGTCCACTATCCCACCTCAAAGCCATATATCTCACCTTATGTCCACTATCACATCTCAAGACCACATATCTCACCTTATGTCCACTATTCCACCTCTCGACCACATATCGCATCTTATGTCCACTATTCCTACTCTTGGTCAAATATCTCACCTTATGTCCACTATCCCACCTCCTGGTCACATATCTCACCTTATGTCCACTATCCCACCTCTTGGTCACATATCGCACCTTATGTCCACTATCCCACCTCTTGGCCACATATCTCACCTTATGTCCACTATCACACCTTTTGGCCACATATCTCACCTTATGTCCACTATCACACCCCTTGGGCACATATCTCACCTTATGTCCACTAGTCCAACTCTCGACCAAACTCGCACCTTATCTCCACTATTCCTACTCTTGGCCACATATCTCACCTTATATGCATAACCCACCTCTCGGCCACATATTTCACCTCGGTGTCCACTATCACATCTCTAGTCACATATCTCACCTTATGTCCACTATCCCACCTCTTGGTCCCATATCTCACCTTATGTCCACTATTCCATCTCTCGACCACATATCGCACCTTATGTCCACTATTCCTACTCTTGGCCACATATCTCACCTTATGTCCACTATGCCACCTCTCGACCACACATATCTCACCTTATGTCCACTATCACACCTGTTGGCCACATATCTCAACCTTATGTCCACCTTTCATCACACCTTCTTGGCCACTATTCCACCTCTCGACCACATATCGCACCTTATGTCAACTATTCTTACTCTTGGCCACATATCTCACCTTATATCCACTATCCCACCTCTCGGCCACATATTTCACCTTATGTCCAGCATCATACCTCTTGGCCACATTCCTCACCTTATGTCCACTATCCCACCTCAAGGCCACATATATCACCTTATGTCCACTATCTCACCTCTCGGCCACATATCTCACCTTATGTCCACTATCCCACCTGTTGGGCACATATCTCACCTTATGTCCACTATCACACCTCTTGGCCACATATCTCACCTTATGTCCACCATTCCACCTCTCGACCACATATCGCACCTTATGTCCACTATTCCTACTCTTGGCCACATATCTCACCTTATATCCACTATCCCACCTCTCGGCCAAATATTTCACCTTATGTCCACTATCACACCTCTTGTTCACATATCTCACCTTATGTCCACTACCCCACCTCAAGGCCACATATCTCACCTTATGTCCACTATCTCACCTCTCGGCCACATATCTCACCTTATGTCCACGATTCCTACTCTTGGCCACTTATCTCACCTTATGTCCACTATCACACCCTCTTGGCCACATATCTCACCTTTTATTTCCACTATATCCCATCTCTCTCAGCCACATATCTCACCTTATGTCCACGATTCCTACTCTTGGCCACTTATCTCACCTTATGTCCACTATCACACCTCTCGGCCACATATCTCACCTAATGTCCACTATCCCACCTCTCGGCCACATATCTCACCTTATGTCCACTATCCCACCTCTTGGCCACATATCTCACCTTATGTCCACTATCCCACCTCTTGACCATATCTGAGCTCTCGTCTACATATCTCACCTTATGTCCACTATCCCACCTCTCGGCCACATATCTCACCTTATGTCCACTCTTCCTACCCTTGGCCACATATCCCACATATCTCACTATCACACCTCTCGGCCACATTTCCCACCTTATGTCCACTATTCCACCTCTCAGACATATCTCTCCTGATGTCCACTACCCCACCTCTCGGTCACATATCTCACCTCAAGTCCACTATTCTACCTCTTTGCCACATATCTTACCTGTTGTCCATAGTCCCACAGTTTGGACGCATATTCCATCTTGTGGCCTGACACCTTAGGAAAACCTACTTGACACCATTTCATGGCCTCAGTCAGCATCTTATCTCCACATGGCCACCAATCTCCACATAGCCACAAGTCTTACCTCATTGCCTCACTGTCACCCTCCACATGGTCACCCATCCAACCACATTGCCCAACTACCAACCTATGACCACCTATCTTCACATGGCCGCATATCTCCACATGGCCACCTATCTCCATATTGCTACCTATCTTCACATGCCCACCTATCTCCACATGCCCACCTATCTCCATATTGCCACCTATCTTCGGATGCCCACCTATCTCCATATTGCCACCTATCTCCATATTGTCACCTATCTCCATATTGCCACCTATTTCCTCCACACTGCTACCCATCTTCACATGCCCACCTATCTCCACATGGCCACCTATCTCCATATTGCCACGTATCTCCGCATGGCCACCTATCTCCATAGTGCCACCTATCTCCATATTGCCACCTATCTCCATATTGCCACATATCTCCATATTGCCACCTATCTCCATATTGCCACTTATCTCCACATGGCCACCTATCTCCATATTGCCACCTATATCCACATGACCACCTATCTCCATATTGCCACCTATCTCTTCACGGCCACCTATCTCCATATCTCCACATATCTCCACATGCCCACCCATCCTACCTCATGGCCCCATTGACAACCTAGGACTACCTATCTTCACATGGCCACCTATCTCAGGCCCACCTATCCTACCTCATGGGCCCATTACCAACCTATGACCACCTATTGTCACATGCCTACTCATCCTACCTCATGGCTCCATTGTCATCCTCTAGTGACCAATGTCAACATGTGCATATGATCACAAGCACTTGCACAAGCACTTTTCCAACCACATGCAATCTCACGAGTCCCTGTCATTGTTAAATTCAGACTGTCGTTATAGACAATGTGTAATGTGTCTGCATATATTTTTCCTTTGTTTAATTGTATTGATGCATTGCCACATGGAGAGAAGGACCAAGCCACACCTAGCAGCTGCTGTACGCCTCCTGCTGCATGTTGACAGAGATGTGGATTATTACATGCAAAATGAATGTTTCTGATAATTCAAAATTTCTGTTATCTAAGTGTATAAACATATATATAGAATCATTGACTAAAAATAACAATTCTGTTATATACCAAGATGACATTTACACATCAAGCAAGCTTTACTTATGCATAATCAGGAAGAACCCGAATGTCAAAGATTCAGATCTTTTTCCAACAATTCAGATTGCTAATTGACACAAACTGAAAAAGGCCACATTAATAAGATTTGGGAATATATTTTGGGGGGATTTTGAGTTTATTGTAATGAATAAACACTTCTCCTTGCCGGATACTGATAACTACAGCTAAAATCTTTTACTGCATTTTAAATTTTATATAGTACTAGGGTAGGGTCTATGTACCTATTTGTCTTTCTAACGCTGTTTCTAAGCGTGACACGCCCCTGTGAATTAAAGTACATGGTAATTTCAATGACGTTTTCTGCTTTTGAACTGTCAAATGCTTGCTCTATCAAATTATAAAGCTTATTTTTTGAAAGAGTTTAGAATTTCATTTCAGACCAAATTAATTGGTAGAAATACAGGGTGGTGCTTATTTTATACACAAATGTACATAACGCGCTAAACTTCATTCACTTGGCTAATGCTCAGACCGCTAACGATCAAAGCACAGCACAGTATTACCCCGGATAACCCAAGCTGTTAATAGTCACATAACTTATCATCCCACCGGGTACCCATTTTCCGCTGGGTGAACAGAGGCAATTTTGAACAAACTCACGTGCCTACAGGTGAGACTACATGTATCACACGTGCTTCGCAGCGAGACAGATCTGAAGTCCTAGAAACTCTCAGGAGTTAAGCTGCCAAACACGGTCACTCATCCAAAGATTCCCTGTGCCAACGTTGCTTAACTTCACCTGGTTTGTGACCTGACTCTATGCACATGACCATACACCACCACGTCTTTATGATCGTAAACACTTCTGAGTCATTGAGTGAGTTTAGGTTTACCACGCTTTTATCAATATTCCAGCAATATTACAGCGGGGACACCAGAAATGCGCTTCACAAATTGTACCCATGTGGGGAATCGAACCAGGGTCTTCGGCGTGACGAGCCAACGCTTTTAACCATAAGGCTACCCCACCACCCCTGAACGTTCAGAGATTATTCTTATGATAAGGTCATTTCCCGATCATGTGTTTTTTGAAACGAGTGAGTGGGTGAGTTTAGGTTTACTCCGCTTTTGTCAATATTTCAGCAATATCACAGCGGGGACACCGGAAACGATCTGTACCCATGTTGGGAATCGAACCCGGATCCCGTAAACACTTCTGACAATCAGGTGATCAAACAGCTCACTGATATCAAAGGAATTTACACACCTATCTCACACAAAGGTGTTAAGACAATAATGGAAAGTAGATATGTCTTTGAAAAAGATGCTCCAGTCGATCAGTCCATTGTGTTGGTGAGAGTGGGCTCTGTGTTGTTTTGGTGACGCTGTTAACAGTATTTCAGTTTAATCACAATGTTTATTAATTCAAATTCAAATACACGCACGGGCTCTCTTGTGTCAATTTCTGACGATCTTGTGTGCTTGTTTTGTAGATTGTACGTGCGCTTTCACAATGTTTTAGGACATATAATTGTATAATCTGTTTGCAGTGAGCGTACCGATGAATTTCACTTTAAACCAAAGTAAACCAAATAAAGTGAATTAAGACTGCAAATCCTCATGATTTTACCTCGCCAATTGAACATATAAATCATTTATTCAACTTAGATAAAGTTGTTTAAAACGATCATAGTTTCACATCGCTATTATCGGTTTGTATGACAAGGGGTATGCACATCGAATGAAACACCAAGAACGAGAAGGGTTGTTCTAAGTAAACGCTCTACGTACATTTACGTACATTTGTTTAACTGTTCCAACTACTGCGCTTACCCCATTGTAATACAAACCAGTAATATCGATTTGAATCTATGATCGTTTGTTAAACAACTTTTATCCTAAGTTGAATTAAAATTTAAGTTTTAAATGTTCAATTGGCAAGGTAAAATTATGAGGATTCGCAATCTTAATTTCACTTTATTTGTTTTATTTTTTGTTTAAAGTGAAATTCATCGGTACGTTTTCAATGCAAACAGACTATAAATCGCTATGCGTTTCAAAGCAATAATATCGTATCTATATATAACTAATCTTACTTAACTTGTATCTTAAACATTGGGCTTATATTTCCCACCACTGGGGATATTTTAGTCTGAAGTTTTTGGAGGTCATTCATACTTTCTTCATCATATTCATTTAAAATTCCACCAGGGGTATGGCAGCAAGGTTAGACGAATGTTCAGTTTGTGAAATATTTTAAAGTTATTTTTAATTATCTGCTTTGGGATTTAATAGGCCAGTAGAAACTGCACTGAACTTTGACATTTCTGATAACAGGCCAAATTTGTGTCTATTGTGTTAACAGTATTTCAGATCAGTCACAATGTTTTTGTTACATTTTCAATAAAGGAGGGAGGCCCGTTTCAACATCTTGGTCACTTTCCGCTTTAGTGAAAACCCACAATGGTGGGAGAAGGTACCTATTTAGAACACAGTTACGGCGAATATGGACATGAACGGCAGGTGATATTGTTTCCTGGCACGCCCAAGGAGAGAACTCTGTCCATTTTATTACAATGCCTCGGGCATCTTGATAAGCTTTGGCCTCCGTCGTTGGATATTAATGAAATACATAATATGCAATATTGTAACAATCACATCACGCAAAACAATAGCAAGTGCCGAGTAGTACACACTGAAACTTTAGGATGATCAAGACAGGTTTTTTTCTCCTGTGTTGACGTTTTGTATGTAAGGCAAAAAAGATTTTAGAATTTTTTGGTCAAATGTGAATTCAACATTAATTCATGAAACTCTGTTATGTCATAAACACAGTATCTGTTCAATGATTTCTGGCAACAAACATAAACAGTAATACGTTTTAAATACAACATTCACCTTAAAGGTCAAGAGATTATATATGCATGCGAGGGTGCGCGCGTACGTGTGTGTGTGTGAGTGAGTGTGTGAGTGAGTGTATGAGAGTGAATTGCTGATAGAATACTGTTTAACGCCGCTTGTGACGGTATTCCAGTTACATCACGGCATGTCAGCTGAATGTGGAAGGAAGGCCGGAGGTGATTTAGATCTCACGAGGCTACCACTTAGTTGCCATTAACCATTAAACCAAGAAATAGAGGCAAACCGGTTTCGAACGATCCTATGTTTCTGGCATAACCAAGCCACGCCTCTCTGAACAGCGAATTGCAGCGCCTTAAACCTGGCTTCTATGGCCGCTTCGTGTTCTGTTATCAGTAGTTGTATCATGTAAGGATCCAACAAATGAAGAATGTTTTGTCAACTCGTCAACAAAATTAGTTCTTCCCACGCAAGTTGGTCTCCGTGGCTGACTTAAGCGTTCCCGAGTGCCCCACGCTGGCGTTGAGATCCCACCAGTACGAATAGTTTAACCACCAGTCTATCTATCTCATTATATCACAAGTGATGCAGAAGATACAGCGGTATACCATGTTGTGTATGGTTGAAATTGTAGTGTTGCACGTAACAACATTGCTATACGTGCGAACACAGCTGTATCGCTGACATTGGAAGTGTGCCTTCACTTCTCATACACAACAGTTTTATATTTAACCGAGATATAGACCACTATGATGACGTCACACCATCGTTGTTGTAGTTGATAAAAAGCCAGAAATTCATTGGCTATTCTGAAAGTGCATTTTAACAAATACAACGGACTAAATTATAGGTGATTATGCAAAATTACAGAGACATTATATATAATGGTTGAGGTCGCAGAAATCATTGAAATTGAAACTCTCTACTTCACAGCTCGTTCATTCTACTTACAAAACATTAGAATTTCATGAGTTCCCCAATACCGGTTTAACATGTCTTTAATACTTTTTATCAGTAAAATGTTTTGATTAAAATGTAATTGTTTAATATTGTGTGAAACCAACAATCACTATGGTGTTTTTGTTTAGCAAGGTTTCTTTGTCGGCCTTCTATGGAAGAAGACTCTTTGCTCATTTTAACTGATCCAACTGGCCAAATATTACGAACTTGATATCAAATCTGGTACACCTACTTCTGATATCAAGAAAAATGTCATCACTTTCTCTTTGCTCATCTTAACTGATCCAACTGGCCAAATATTACGAACTTGATATCAAATCTGGTACACCTACTGCTGATATCAAGAAAAATGTCATCACTTTCTCTTTGCTCATCTTAACTGATCCAACTGGCCAAATATTACGAACTTGATATCAAATCTGGTACACCTACTTCTGATATCAAGAAAAATGTCATCACTTTCTCTTTGCTCATCTTAACTGATCCAACTGGCCAAATATTACGAACTTGATATCAAATCTGGTAAACCTACTGCTGATATCAAGAAAAATGTAATCACTTTCTTGGTAGAAGAAGAAATTTTAGTGGAGACAGAAATTCTGAAGTGGCGAAAGAAATTTGAATTTAACAAACTGAAGAAACTGAGTGAGAAAAAATGAGGGTCGAAGCTGACACTGAAAA